ACGTATCTCATCCATTTTATTCGGAAAATCGTGTCCTTGAATTTGAGACGCATGAGCTTTTCCGTCCTGTTTACATGCATGAGCGTTATGTGTAAGGACAGGTAACATACATACACAGGGTTTTCCGAGTTGACAGCCTCTGTGATTTCTGCATTTTTTATGCTCTAGACATTTCGTAAGTGGAATATTGAGCTTCAACTTGCTTTCGTGCTTGATCCTGGCATCGTGTGGCCTATCCGGATGTATATGAGTTGCGGTTAGCAACCGGCGTCTTTTGGCGCGAAATTCTTTGAGAGTTGCAGCCGCCAAATGGGAGAATGGGAAGGTAATCTTCATCAGCAGAGATCTAGAATCCCTGTCCTTCTTGGCTAGTCTAACCATTTGTTGTGTCAAAATGTTTTTGTGTTTCAAGTACTGTCCGACAAATTTCCATTCCCGAATATCTGAATCTGAGTGGCCAGTGTCCGTGTTTTCTGGCACACCTTGTACAATAATATTTTTTCCGCGCGAGATTCCTTTGGAATATTTCTGATGAGATTGCACTCAGAATACAGTAAATCAGGCAGTATTTTTTCCTTCCCACATAATTTCAGTAAATGACTAATCAGTAACACATTCACTAAGTCGTCAGCGTTATTAAGTGTTACACGAAGTAATCTTGGGTGATTTTGATGCGCAAAATCCTTTCCCTGGGTGAGCCATGAGATCGTCAATAGCTTTATTTCAGAACGTTCGAGCTTCCTGTTTAACTTTTCACTGAACATCCTGTCATTTTTGTCCTGAAGACTGATGGGAAGTTCAGGGCTATCTTATGGGTTCATAATTACTAGAGAATCATCGTGGACCGTGATTATTTTCCCACGTTGGGAACCTTATTGTTTGATAATTGAAGCACGTTCCAGATTTCTTTGCTCTTTGCTGACCGGTTGGACAGTCTTAGGGGTGGACTATACGGCCAAATCAATAGTTGATTTCACTGTAGTACCCGGGATGTTCTGCATCTTAAGCGGTGACGACCGGTCCGTTTTGACTTTGTTGACGGAGGTCCAACCCCTTGCAGTGTTTTTGAGGACCACCGACGCATTCACGTGTTCTGTGCTGGGGGACCCAAGTTTGCTGGGAGAGCCTAGCATTGTCGATATTATGACGGTGATGAGACTCAGCAAATCCTCACTAGTACTATTGCATGTTTCGTCGATACCAGCGTTGTCGAGATCCCTCTTATTTCCTTCACTGTGCGTCTTTGTTTGTTTGCTCGCTTTAGGACTACATTTCTTCAGGTCTGCCGACAACCCTGTCCAGGGTTTTTTGATGTCCTGATGTGTGAAAATAATTGCTTTTATGATAAATTTTAACAGTGGATGTTGCATTTCAAGCGTTGTCGTCCAGCTCACTGAGTCGCGCCAATCCGCGGTTTTGTCTGTTAAGGATCTCAAAGAGACGCGCAATTCGGTCTGAACCATCGATATAAACTTACCAAGCCATTGAACGTACGTAACTGCTTGACTATGATCGGTTCTGGATAATCTAGACTAGCCGTCACTTTGCTTTTAAGTGGTCGGATTCCTGACACAAAAGCAAGGGGTTACAATGACTGCACTTGTATGACGGAGTCTTGCCATCTCTGTTCCTCGTTGCCGCCTTCAACGTTGTTGAATCTCTCTAAATGTTTCATATTGAATGTAAAACTTTTCTGCAATTATTTGATCGACTTCACAGATTGTGTTGTTAGGAATCAGTGAGACCATGCATTCACTACTGCGAATAATTCTGAACGTGGTCCTGTCACGTCGTACCTGTAGAAATCACCTTCTGCATAGCAGAACCAAGCTTACATATTATCGGGCCAGAGTGGCATGAGTTAAATGAAAAGAGGAGAAGTAGCTTTAACGTGAAATATCTCAGATGTCCGTTCCGTCGTGAGGAAGATGAAAATATTACCCGAATGTATGAGTCATTATCAAAATATTTAAAAGTAAAAAATAAAAAATGATAAATAAACTCATAACAAAGAGCAGAATCACAGTATAGTGTTTGATGTATCAGATCACGTCGGGCACATTACCAAAGATGCCACAAGTATTTGGGGTTCAATAACACCTTTATAATCGAAGTACACCAACCAAGTCAAATCAGAAGTGAGAAATGAGGAAGGTCGGAGGTATATTTGGGAAGCTATCGATATGTTGAGAGGCGTTTGGTCTGAGCTGGCTGGTAGTTGCAGAGGATATGTAGCACGGTGTAGCCACCTTTGATTTGGTGCGTCTTCAGCTAGCGTGTGTCTGGTGAAACTAATGGGTCCAATTCAATGTGGAAGACACGTGGGGCTATTTATTTTGGGGATTTATTTGCCGCTACAATCATAATGTGTTGGGGTGCGTGCACACAGATAGCATTGTGCCTAAAGAAGAGGCCAAAAGTTAAACACAGTTTATTCGGTGCCGTGCAGTGACCATAGGGAGAATTACTGGGATTAGTGGCAATGATTCAAAGTAAGGTTTTGTAGGTCACGAATTTCTTGAAAAAAATGAGCACGGTGGGATTGTCAAGTACATTCTGGACTGTATTGAACACTGGATGTTTCTTCAAACTGTCTGTTTGTATTGTTAATCGGGTTTTTATGCGTTAACTCATGTTCTTATCTCTTCAGGTCAGCTTCTAGCCGTGATTGTTCTTGTTACAAATGAACCTTTTACCGATTGGTAGGTTTGCAAAATCTATGTGTATCGAAAGACTTAATTTAACAAATCGAAATTTGATTTCAGCTTTTATGAAAGTGATGTAACCATCTGACCTGGTATTTAATGTATATTAAAATTATCATTTTTTTTGTTCCAGGCTAATTTCGTAGCAATTGACCTTGAAGTGGTTGTAGACACATTTTTGAAATGCAGAAGTGGTTTCTGTCTGGTAAATAAATATAAGTTTTATATCGGCATTCAGAATATGTAGAACCGCTTGAAGGGCTTCACAGGCTTTTGGAAGTTGACAGGGTCACTGTGAAGCAAATAAAAAGAACCAAAGTAAGTTTTAATAATAGTTTATATTCAATAAAACAAAGCACGGATTCTTAAATGCACATATAGTGTAGCAAAAGAGTCGTTTAATGCGAAATAAAAATATTTAAATAAATGTGTTGCTCTTTCGGCAACTCCTCACTCCAGCTTAAGTTTTCATATCAGTGTTTATCGAATTGTTTTTAACTACTTCATATTAAGTGTAATTGAATTGAATTGCTATTGTCTTTACAGTACAAATTTTCTTTCAAATTTTTGTGAAGTATCTGATGAGGACGTTTATTTTAGTGGTTTCCTTCAGAAGTTAGTTGGTATTTTATTTAGTGATAAAAATGTTCACTCTTTTAATAGTAAAGTACAGATGTAATTGTGGTGAAAGGTCTTTACAACTTATTACATTTCGTTATCACAAAGCATTTGTTTGCTACTGGAACTTCAAAAAAAGGAAGTTACGTTAAATAAGGTGAAAAGATTCGAATTCATAGCATGTTTTGTTCTGTAATACGTTGCAAATATTTCCGAATTTATTAAGATGTACTTAAATTCATAATTCAAAATTTTTTTCAGTTTAAAAACACTATCACCTGCCACGTTTTTACAACCGAAAAACCGAGGGTTCAATGATCTGAACCTTACTTTATCTCTTTAGAATAACAATTCGTAATATTGTTGAGTCTGTACTGCTACTCGATGCAAATTGATTATGTTACAGACAATTATCAGTGGTATGAATATGTACAGGTCTGGTGAATCCCATAGAAAGCTTTTCAGACTTCGTTCACAGCTTACTGTGTTTCGGACAAACTATCTACGATTTCAACCAGCGTTAGTGTATTTTTAAACTGGTCGAGTTTCTTATGTTGTTTTTGCCAAAAACGTTTAGTGGAAGATTCAATTAGTTCATATGAATTTCACCCCATAAATATGAATAAACCCTAAATAAACTGAATTCACACCATAAGTTTTACATGTTTGTAAATTTAAAGAACTTGATACTTAGGAGCATTGAGCTTTTGTTAGCACCCTATTTTTTGATCATTAAATGTGACAGATACAAGTTATATTTATTTGTTCGAAAGCTTGGTGTGTAAAATTAAATTTGGCCTATTTAGTTATGAAAAATACCGTTATATTTATCATGTGTAACTGAAAACTGAATTGTGTTTGATGGTCCTTTAATATTTTACTGAACCTTCATCGTCAAAATTTAAACTTTGAGGAAGAGCAGGGTCAGTCCAGCAAACAAAAGTTTATTTTCGGCATTTAGAATTACCTAAAGTGCACGATCGCGTTAACGATTAATATGTCTGCTAAAAATATTAGTCTACAACTTCACAGAACGGTGTTGAATAGCTAAACAAAACTGAAGTGTTATCATGCCATAAATAGTTTCAAAATTCAGACAACAAAGACGAACTAGACGGTGACCTAACAGCTGATAAAAAATGTTAGGGTGAAAATGGTTATCTACTCGATGAATATCAAGAACAAAATAATTAAAACTTGTAATGGTGGCTAAATATTAGTTGCAAAATGTAGGTAATAAGGGAACAAATATGTTTGGAGTAGAGAAAAAGCGATAGATTGTGGAAGACAAGCAACTAGATCAAGACCGCAATGAAATCAGAAAGCAAAAATACTGGTTTTGGAAACAAAGGTCAGGTTTGAATTGGTGGTAAGCTATAACTTCTAACGTACATTCCTTTTTCATTCGTATTTTTGTAAACTTATTTTTATCACTAAACTAACAATTTTGAAGGATGATTCTAATAAATTGGAGTGCCAAAAATTAACTAGGTTTTCGAGGGTCGAGCTTTTAATAGATTTTTTAGTCTTTCATATAGCCAGGGACACTGATATTTGTAGTGGAAACTTTGTATGTCAGAGAAAGATATTATCTCCCTGATGTATCAGTAATCAATAATCATCAAGGTTGAATAAACAACAGATCAAAGAACTTGAGATTATTTTTTATCTTGATCAATGCGTTGGGAGCTAAGTGAAACAATATGCGTTCCGTCTTTTATTACTGCTACTAATACCACTATTTTAAAAGCACGCTTAGTTCATATTGTTTTAAAAAATAGTAAGTATTTTGAATTCACTCCTGCTGAGTTCAAATCAAAGGCTCACGAAATGTATTTATGAGATGAACGGTGGATAAGATGTTATACATACAAAGTTTTCCTTCCAGCTTTCTTAAAACCTTTCGAATATGGTCTTATAAATGGTCAGTTACAGTGGCTTAAAATAATGTCGGCTAGTAATCATGAGTAAAATTAGTAGTGCTAATTGAATAAAAGGTTCACATTGTATTCATTTGTTAAATTATTATCAATAGTTAAGAAATAATTGATTAAAACGTAGTTTGTTTTGTAGATTTTTTCGTATATTTGAAGCTTCCAGGCAGCACTTTTGTCTTTGGATTTTTAAAAGAAATCATATTAGGAGATGTAGTTTTTGGATGGATCCCATTATCAAAACAAAATTGAAAGTTAAAACTTCATACAATAAGAACAGTTTTAAGGCTTCGATTGATGTAAGCACGTTTGTGCTTTAAGCGAAAGTATACATATGAGCATTACTGACAAATTTCGTGAACATAGATTACATTTTTGTGTTGCTTTACCGTATAATTCTATAAAATGAGTTTAGTCGCTAAAGGTCTTTAAATGTTAAACTGGAAGGTAGTAATCTTTCCCACAACTAAACTATTTTCTTGGCTTGACTCGAAAAGAGTCTGGCAAATTTATTTTGTTCGTGACTTTACAAGTGAAATATTGTATAATGCTATTGATTGTAAACATATAATGAAAGCGATTTTATAAACAACGCACTAGTTGGTTAAACTCTGTCTTTCAGCTAAACATTTTAAATATCAAACAGTATTTTAGTTATACACTGAAAAACTCATAAAAACAACATTGGTCGTAGTTGAAGACATTTTTATTGTAAGGCTTTAGGAGTTTGTTATCCAATAATTATGCAGATTATCTAGTGATTTATACGATGTTATAGTGAGAACACCATATTGTGATTTATATTCTAGGCTCATTGTTAGATAACATTTATGAAAATATAGAAATTTTATTTGTTTTTTCTAGGTTCAAAGTTACATGATGCAGTAGTTTATGAGGCCCTACTAGATACTTCTGAACCTCTTTTAAAATTTGTTGAAAAGTCTAGCTTTGCACAAAGATTTTGGTGTGGATCTCACAGAGCATTCGATATGGAAGTGCGAAATGTAAACGGAAAACTTGTTATGCATCTCCAACGGCCATTGAAGTGTTCAGCAGTTGTATGTTTTTGTTGTCCTTATGTAAGTTGATAAATCGTCTGCAAAACAAGTTAGAATACACCTTTTTGTTTTAAAGTTTTAAGATACGGTATTTTGTTGCTTAGTAATTCCACGCCCTACTTTTCGTAGCCTTAATTAAATCACTTTCTATACCCAAACGATTGAATGTAGTTTTATGCCATTTCATAAAATAATTTTTCACCTGAGACATAACTAGTGGTCGTGAATGGTTTGAATTATGTATCTAAATAAAAATATGGATTATGATATTAGGTCTGCCAAACATGTTTTATACTCTTAGAATTTTATGAAGAGTTTGACGTATGCTGGATAAATGAAAATGAGTTCATTGGTAGGTAAAGTTTTAACTAAACTGAATAGACAGATTTAAATCAATTTTAAAGCCATAAATTGATCTATAGCTCAATTTCACTAGACAACTACAGTAATGCAACTTAAACAGTATGAACCGTTTTGGTAATACTAGAAAGCTAGATAGTTTGCCTGCCTATTAAAGTTATAGTGGAAAGATTGATTAGAAATGATCAGTCTAAAAGTTACTGAAGATAGAATTTTTTCGCCTTAACAAGTTTTCAACTCATTCCAAGGACAAAAATACTTTCATTGGTTAATTTGCCAACATTTTGCACGAATCTCATTATTTTTATCACGAAGAGATGTTGACATCTACATTACTATAATCAGTGAATATCTAATAGAAGGTTTTACTTAAGAGTGCAAAATGATGTTTCTGTAGTTTTCTTTCTCATAGCTGAATTATTTTATTACCAGCTAGGAACTTTGGTGGGGAAAAATTACCCCGTATAAGAGTCAGGTGATCACATGTTATCCAGAATCCACTACTATAGTGAAGTTTATCAGGTCATTGGATGATCAAACGTATTTATGACTCAATCACGTATTCAGTCGATATCAGAGTCCCATCCATAAATCAGCTGTTTTCATCAGAAAAAAAATCATAATTACCGGAGTTTTGTTAAAACCTTTAATGTTTTGAAACTTATAAACTGTTATAATGGAAAAAACTGGCAGTCTTTTGTTTCTAGTGGTATAACCTACCTACAGATTGGTTGCCTAACTTTAAACTGTCTAAAAAATCAACTATGACTATGGTTTGACAAGCATTTATTCAAATTAATTACTCTTTGTGAATTTTCAGGACTGAATTAAAAAATTACCCCGTAAAAAATCTTCTTGGTGAACAAATTTTTCCATAAAACCTGCATCTACATCAGAGCTAGCACTAAGGCTTATGTTCATCATTTATTTTTGTTTGAAGCAAGAAAATCACTAAAATGACTCGGTAGCCTGGAAGTTTACTCTATTTGAAACTACAAACACTAATCTGAGATCCTGTTATGTGAATCAGCATTAGAATAAAGGAACATTCAGCTGATGAACTTCAAGAAACACTCCTGAATTCCATTACTGGTTACAATTTAAAATATAGTTTCCTACATTTATATATATATATATATATATATATTGTTGCGAATATGACTCAATTCTAGTTGCATATACTTTATCACTGCAGTGAACAAGAACACGAGTGGGGGACAATCGAATGTACTTGACACAAAATTACAGGACTTGTTAATAAAATCTAACAATCATAAAGTAAATGCTTAATTTGCAAAATGTCCACTAATTGTCTCAAAATGACTCAGACTTCATTGTTCCTGCATTTTAACACAAATTGCATCCTGTTTCCATTCTTTACTGATTGATTCTCTTGTCTCTCTGCTTCCAGACCTTCTGTTCACGACTAACATCATATACTACTTATGTCGATATAAGTAGCACTTACCACACTACTGCTTTCAAAAACTCAAATAATTTAATCATATATACTTATTTGCTTATGGTTCTTAGCATATATATATATATATTTAAATCACTTTCTAAGTATATCTGTTGCTATGTATGTTCTTGTTTCTGTTTAATTTTAATGAACATTCACTCATAGCCCAATTTTGTTAATTATGTTTCGTTTTTTGGTTTTATTTACAGTGTTTATATTTTCTACTGATATCATTCATTTATATATATATGTGTTTTAATTAAGGAAATGAAAGTTGAAGCTCCAGTAGGTGAACCAATGGGTAGTATTGTTCAAAATTATGGACGATTCGGTCATACATTTTACCTGAAAGATTGGAATGATAATATAAATTTAGATATAAAAGGTCCTTGGTTTTCTTATACCTGTTGTTTTGATCTTATTTTAAGGTGAGTATAAGTTCATAAACATTACTATTACGTGAATAATTAACCTGCAAATACTTGATATAATCATCACATTATTGTAAATTGAACTTATAGTTTTTAGTAAAAACAGATTAATGAAAGTGAAAATCATGCTTTTAGGTTTTAAGTGGGTGTTTAGCTAAGTTCATCACGTAATTTAAGAACTATGAAAATTCTACAACATCCAAAAATCCTTTAATATTCATGATAATCATATGTTCAAGAGTAACTAGTTTCAAAATAAAGCTCTTATAATTGTGCTGAGATACCATAATGGACGGAGTTGAACCATGTTCAGTATAAGACACTTGTCTACCTTGGAAAATCGAAGATGATTATGTAATATCGTGAATTGTTTGAAGTTAGACATGAACACCATTGGATGCCGTCTCAGTAGTTTAGAGGATAACCATTCACATGCAACACCGAAAGTCCTAAATTTGATGTCTGCTTATGGGTTCGTGGACGCTCACTTCTGAGGAATTCCATACCAGTATGAAGCGACTATCCAGTGCTACCTGGTATTCACTGTTGGTCTAGTACGCGAAGTCAATACAATATATTATAGAAAACCAAAGAATTAAACTGGATACACTTCTTTTACATGGTTCAAAAACTTGTCAAGGGTAGAAAGAGGTTCGGAGGTTCTAAAATCGTAGTGCAAACGGTAGAGGAGATCGTCTATATGGCTCCATAATAGCAAGCCTCTGGAACCATGATAAGGTTATAAAAACTCTTTCAGCCTCTACCACATAGCTTCAATATTGTTTGTATGCACTGCTGTTATTGGGTCCACAAAATGCTGCTTGTGGATAACGACACGATGCACATAACCAAGTCTATGAAAGCATCTGTGCGCTCTGCAGTCGTGCGCATATAGTGTAATACCCGGCTGAAGCCAGCGTTACTGGTGCTTTTATTATCCAGTTCGTAACAATTGTGATGATTTGCCTTAATCCCAATTTGGAGTGAGAGAAAAATCCTATTCTAACAGACGTCCTCCTCCAACACATATTATATCAAAAGACAACATCATCACGGTAGTCTGCACAAAGTTCACAAGTCATTTGATTACCATAATCACAAATAAAAGGAGTTCTTAGTAGTCCCATTTATTGTAATTGTTCAATTATCACGTTTCCTCTAAAATCCACTGTGAACCAATCGTATGTAAGCATCAGGTACTGAAAGTGGTATTGTAACCTTGAAATCCTCCAAACGTTTGTGATTGGTTCGTCCATAAATTATAGTCTCGTTGAATCTTTTGAAAATGAAGTTTCTCTTGAAATAAGTGTGACCTACGATGAATAATATATCATACAATTAAACTAAATATTCTCATTTTTGACGGGAATCCGTCACCATAGTGAAAAATGATCATGAATTAAAAATAAATAACCGTTTACAAACAATGGTACATGGTGTTAACCTAATACTAATAATTTGATCGTAATACTTTAGATGTTAGTGGCTCTAAATCTGACTTCATTTGGATTGTTTACTGCTTGTTATTGAAATATTTACATGTCGCCAAACCTCGTACATAATCACCGAATTAACTCGCGTTAGTGAATAATGGTATTAAATAAGTCAACTACGAGAATGAATTTCGAATATATATATTTTGTACAATCGTTGATCCAGACAGAAGATCGGAGAAGCGAAGGAAATAGAGCGAAACGAAATGACGCGAGGTGGAGAAAGCGTGTCAGCCAACTCGATTTGACCAAGAGTGAATCGGTATTTCTAGTCAGACAAATATAAATTACAGTCATGCGATGAGTAAGATAAGAAATGCACATACATACTCTTACATAAAAACAATCAAGGTTGACGATCGAATAATTGACAAGGCCAAAATGTGACTCAAGAAGAATGAATGAATTAGCATGTCCGTAAGCTAGAATAAGCTATGTGGGCTCGCATAGCGCTACAAGATTCACATTCATTTAAAATTATTTTCCGCACCATGTGAATGGCTAGTTCTCAACGTACTTGTTTTTCTTTATTGAATTACATATTTTAGCACACTAAGTTATTATCGTAAATCAAACTAATTGTAACTAAAACTGTTAAAATGGTGTCACATTTAGGTATGTAGCTTTGGTGTGTCCTCTTTACGAAGGTGTTTACATACATTATTAAGTGTGTTTTTCATTCAAATGATTTGAAATCCTTTAATTGATATCAAGAGAAATACGTCAACTATTATGAAACGCTGGTAAATCAGGGTTTTCTATGAATTGCACCCAATTATCTGATACTGTAAATAGAACTTCCGAAAATTGTTTCATTAAGATTAGTAGGTAAATTTCAACTTGTTTGAAGGAATTCGATCAGTACGGAAAAACAACAACATACTACTCACTATATAAAAGTAAATAATCACCTACTGTAAACGTTAAGTTTTGTACAGGTTGGAAACATGATATTAACGTATTTTTCTTTTATGGTTCAAATTAAATCCCATGTTTTTATTAGTCTTGTAATTTTGTAAAGATGCCCAATCTTTGTAATATTTAAATACAAATACATAATTAATGAACAAAATGAAAATGTTATTTAATAATTTACGATAGATACGTTTTACACTTACAATGATCAACAAAAAATCCCCAACCATTTGATGATATTTATTATTTCTTAACATAGGAATGATGAAATACTATTAATTAATTTTAGATTGGGGTTATGAATAGATCAATGTTAGGTCACTATTAGAAACCTGGAAACATTGGACGGCTGTTTCATCGTAGTTTGAGACTCCTCAGCAGTGCGCATCCACGGGCCCATACTAAAGCGACTCGGACCCAGAACCTTCTATTTCGCGCGCAATCACTTAACCTTTAACCTTCAACAGTGTTAACGTCTAACTTCAACCAATCTATCCAGTGCTTTTAGTTTTTCAATGATGGTCTAACATTGATCGATTCATGATATCAATCAAAAACTTAAAAATCTTCATAATCTCATACTGATGATTCGTTCTAGAGGAACAACAATGCTATTTAGACATTTTATAACTTAACTAGTACAACTTTGTCAATCTTAAATAATCTTTTAACAATTGATTTTATAACATGTCTAGACTGATATACAAAAATGAAAACAGTTTTCATCAAAATCTATGAATAATAATATTCGATCAATCAACTAGGTAGTTGATTTTTCCTTCTTAGTTCAATAGTAAAAATGTTAATTAATAAACAGCTGTTATAATTGATTTTATTAAGTAATTAAAAGTATGCAACAATGGATGCAATAAATATAGATTTTGTGCTAACCGGCACTTACCGTTAAGATCTAATTTACGATTTTATAAAAATCAATATTGATTAATTGATAGAATTTGATTAGAAACAAAAATTAGACAATTTTCCATTGACTACGATTAATGGTAAATTAAGAAATTGAATGGAACGACTTGAAATTGTTAGTAAAATATTATAACTAAGGTTAAATTCACTTGGTATTGTTTGTTTAAATCTTTCCGTTGATGTTTAAGACAGCGATGGATCAGTTTCTTATTGGTATATGTGCATCCTGTGAAGATTGTCTAGATATTGCCTTAATTCACAAGCATTCTAAGCAAATATAGGTAGCGGTTAGAAGTGGAATGGAAAACGCGCGTTTCGTGTCATTTGAGACTCATCAGCTGGATGTATCTGTATCTCAGAGTTGAAATTCACTCTGGAACTCGAACCCAGTCCTGAACATCAATAGGAAGATCCAAGTAGGCAATATCAAGTGAATTTAAATTTCGACCCATTGCACAAGCGAGTGGCTATCAGAAATCACCAGCTAAGTGGATAACGTGATGGCGTTTCGAGCGAACTGTACTGGGTTTGAGTATCAGAGTGAACATCAACTCTGAGATATATGTACATCTATCTGATGAGTCCCGGATAGGACAAAACGCGCATCCTGGATTCCACTGCTATCCACTATCCATCTTTTTATAATTAAGATTTGTATAATTAATATTTGTTAATTACTGTTATTATAAGATATTGTGAAGATTATTGAATTTAAATTTTACGTGATGAGCTGACTTCGGCTAGGTAGCCAATAATCCTAGTAAATAACTCAATGGCTCGAAAGTTGAACGTTTTCCATAAGGTTTAAAAAGTTGTACGTTTAATTATTAGTATGATCTTGGTTGTATATTGCTGAGAAGTTCCATAATAGCATCAAACAACTATCCAGAGATTTGTAGTTATTTAATCAAAATCATTCTATGATATGAAACCTTATAGTTTATCAATCAAACCAAAATAGAATATAAATTAACATAACATAAAAGCATCAAATATGTTATGTGGTGATTTTATTGAAAATATACAACTTTATCAATTCAAGTCAATCAGCATTACTTTTTCAAGTTTAATTTAACTATCAAATCAAGAAAAAAGTTTCATTGTAATAAGTTTTATTTTGGGAACAGAAAAAAATACTAACAAGCAATTCACACTAACATTTTAATTAACTATACCGATGAAATGAATTACAAGTTCTGGATTCTGTTGAAAGTCAACATATCAAGAAACATACTTATGGAGATTATCTGTAATGTAATAATTAAGTTCATGAGTTAATGAAATCTAGACCAGCATGGAAAAATTTGTAGCACTGGACGGCCGTTACATCCTAGTATAGGCTTGATTAAAGTTAGACATTAACATTGTTGGGTAATGGTTCAGTGTTCTAGAGGTAAAACGTTTGTGCACGAGACTGATAGGTCCTGGGTTCGGATCTCGCGAGTCGGGATCGTGGATGCGCACTGCTAAGGAGTCCAATACTAGGAAAAAACGGCCGTCCAATCCTCTTAGGTTTCTCATGGTAGTCTAGTTTAGATCGACTCAATAATTAAACTTTAGATATCAAATATTAACCTTAAGAAGTTTAATGAAAAACATTAGAATGACTAATGATATTATGTACAGAAAAAATACCGAGAAGTATTTAGATGTTTGTCTTTAACACAGTGTAACATCAATGATTTATTTTATGGGATTTAATGTAGAAATAGGCTAAAAGTTTGATGAAAATACTGGTTATTTAAAATTAACCGATTACTGAGTAGTGACTTATGTCATGCTTGTCTAGTTTACTAGTGTTAATCGACTACCATTGAGCAAGTTGTTATGTGAGCGTTAATCTAAGTGACTAGACTTTTACTGCACCATGTTGAGGTCTTAGTTGATTAGACAAACCAGAGAAAATTATGGGCCTGGATTTCGCACCAGCTGGCATTTAACAGTAAGACACATCTGTGTTCATGAGGGACTCGTACTCACATAGCAACTTGATCGACAGAATTCGATTGGCACTAAAAGATCCGATAAACGTGAAAATGGTCACTGCTCATTGGCGTATTAATTATAAGTATCTCTGAGTCCTACAGAAAGTCAGTAGCTACGCAAAAGGCTCGGTGGTGACGTTTCGGGTTATAAAGCTGAATGGCGCGGGAATAGATCTATGAAGGAATATCAGTCTCTTTGAGATTATAGGGAAATTTTTCTGATGAGGGCTGAACAGGACGAAACCTAGATCCAAGGCTTCCTATCGATTAGCTCCAATTCAATTAATAACTATATGCTACATAAGAACCCACACTTTTCTCGCTGATCGTTTAACTGATTTTTTCATAGTTAATAATCTCTGAGTAATTAATTACACACTACTTTCTCATATGTTTTTAATTTTCATATTGTCACTGTTAAGATTTATGCACATGGACATAATAGATCAATTGGACGGATAATATGTCGTCGAGACCAAGAAAATGATAGTTTTCGTGTTGACTTCCCTTTAGACTTGGATTATCGTATGAAACTTTTGCTTATTTGTGCTGCAATATTTTTGGTAAGCTATTTATTTATAATGTTTATTTTATCTTATATTATATAATAATTCATAATGTACATCTAAACATGAAAATCTTAGGTATTATGTAATGAATATTCCACAGTTAGTCAATGATAATTTACTGTTTGGTGCAAAATTTCAATGTTTCAATTAGTTTCTATGGTATTTGTAAGTTATCATTTGCCATTGTGCAAAAAACTAGTGACTGATCGATTACCCGGTAAGAAATGTGGAATGAAAAGAAAATTATTAACATTCTTCTTGTCCTGATATGTATACATACATCAATTCATATAATATTCAATCATAATTTAATATAGTTGTTTAAGATAAAGGTTAGTCAATAAAACATGAATACGGGTTTTCTAAAGGCAGTCAACAGAATTATAGTTCACTTTTAAATTAACATCTTATAGTTGAGAAGAAAGCTAAAGTGTTAGTAAGTCTTGTACGTTTCTTAAAGGTGTAAAGTTTTTAGTGATAAGTCTTTTAATTAAGTGCTAGATTTGGTTCCTAAGCTCTTCTAGTAATCCCCAGGCTAGATCTACACAGCGACTTGAACATGAGAGAAAAGGCGGGAAATATGGAAGAAACGCTTTACTCCAAGGGTTCATTTATGTACAGAAAATCTAGGGTATTTAAAGTATTTTAGATAGCCTTGGGTTATGTTAATGGAAAGTATACTAACCTGCCAATCTAATCTTTGAAAACTAATATCTTATTTGTTCATTGATTCAATCAAATAAATAAAAGTATCAGTTACATCACTGAATTTACCAACAATCATTATGAGATTGGTGAAATTCTAAAATATATATATATATGGATAAGGGTTAACATTAGGATCGATTACGTGCGTTTTGTCCTACTTGAGATTTGTTAGAAATCTTAAATGAATCTTTCTACAATTATACTGTTGTATAGTTTTAATGTAGCATATGGAAATTCAAGATTGAGGATTTCATTTATTTAGATTATGTGTTAAATCAAATTTTCAAATTTTTTGGATTGTTTGACTTTTAATAACTATGTCAGTCTAAAGATATTCATTAGCGATATGATGAAAACATGAATACCAGCTATATCTTCCCAAAGGGGGTGCAGGTACATTGAGATGATGAGTCCCAAATAGGACGTAATGGACGTTCCGAATTCCATTGCTGGCATACCATCTATTCTTCATTAGTTTCCACTTTTATATATCATTTCCTTATTTTAAATCTTGTTCATTCAGTTACAACTCTAAAGATATATATTGAAATGAATGTTTTAAATGTTGACAAAAACTAAACTCTTTAAAACAAATGACTAAAACCAATTCGGGTAATTAGCTCATTTTGTTGAAAATGCAACGTGTCAAAAAAAAGATAATAAAGGAAAATTGGAATGCAATCTTTAGTCAGTGCAAAAATTTTTTTCATTTGGGAACTATTGGACAATTACTGATTTTGATCGAAATGGGGGTTTTGTGAAGATTCATGGGCCGATATAAGCCAAACCACCACTGCAATCCTAGAAGCACTAGACGACCGTTTCGTCCTAGTATGGGACTCCTCAGAAGTGCACATTCACGATCCCGCATGCGGGGCTCGAGCTCAGGACCTTCAGTCTCGCACGCGAACGCTAGCATATAACGGTGTTAATGTCTGACTTTAATCGATCCATGATCTTGAGCAACCATTCATCCACTGAACTCTACTGGCCAGAACTTCTCACTAAAACTCGAGGAAATTCATCTTGAATCTAGTCACAAGTGAGCCCGTGATAATCTGTTGCTTCCAGGTTTTCAATGGTGGTCTAGCTTACATCAACTCATGAATTCAACCATTGAAATTATTGATTTGTCAAGTGGTTCGATAATAATGATGATAGTAATAATAATAATAAAATCATTTTCTATCATAGTACTAAAGTGGATATGTATGGATCTCAAGGATACCATGATTATTTACAATGTTGTAAGTTTACTTAATAGTTAAATAACAATGAACTTGAAGACGTTAATCTCTGTTTACTGCCAATAGTGTAATGAAATTCAACTTATTAGATAGTACAAATCGGCTCTTATTTATTTAGTCTAATGTAAATGAGGGTAACATAACTCTAACAGATGATATATTTCATTAAAATATCACATGCAACTCTGACAAACATGGTGGGTTAACCAATGCAAACATGATAAGATTACAACGATTATGGTTCAGGTTCTTGATACGACTCATTAACAGCTGAGTTATAAGACTCAATCACATAATAAGATCTCATTTTCACTCTAAATATTTCATGTCCCACCTAAATAAATAAATCCAACCTAGATTATCTGCAACTTTTTAAGTATTCAGTACGTTTGTTCAGGCAACATGAATTATTCTTAACCATCTTTTATGAATGTGTCATCTTGGCGCAGCCGGAAATATCGGATTAAAAACCCAAATATGATAGAACGTAAGGCTTGAAATTTGTATTGAAGATCATCATACTTAATTTGTTTGAAATGATGTAGTTCATAAATAATTTTTGGAGGAGATTTTTCATAAGGATTATAAGAATGTAAAGCAGAAGGTAGGAACCATTAATTCTTAGTATCTGGTTTAGTGCATCCTATCGATGTATGAATAGGGTTATTTTTAGTGCTATTACAGAGTAATTTTGGTCATCCACAATAAAACCAAGAGAGAGAGAGCACAGAACAAAAGCAGAAAACATTCATGTAAGAGTAATTCACTTGGTATTGTTTTTACTTGAATCTTCCCATTGATGTTTTAGGACTGATATTGATCAGTCTCTTATTGGCATATGTGCATACTGTGCGTATGCCTCGATATTGCCTTAATTTACAAGTATTATAAGCAAAAATGGATAATGTCTAGCAGTGGAATCCGGGACGCGCGTTTCGTCCTGTTTGGGACTCGTCAGCTGAATGTACCTGCATCTCAGAGTTGATGCTCACTCTGCGTTTGAAGCTAACGGTACTGAGTTCGAGTCCCAAAGTGAACATCAACTCTAAGAAGCATGTACATTCAGCTGGCGAGTCCCAAACAGGACGAAACACGCGTTCTGGATTCCACCGCTAGCCACTATCCATCTTTGCTTATTCATGTAATAGGTTTGCCATTAGACAAGTGCTTTGTTATATAATGATCTATTGTTTTGGATAGATATTATTTTAATTGATTAAATGAACTTGGGAAATCGTAAGGGTAAAATATCTTCAAGAAGGCAAATTCTTAGTAAGTTTCATCGGACATTTAATTTTCCTATAATTTCACTAGTGAGATTGGATATAATCATAACGGCAAATATTTCTAGGCAACTTCAAAGTAGATGTAACCAATGATGCAGCGAACAAATAATACTACTGAGTTTGTTTTGCAGATAGAGTGCGACGAATTACTCCATAGTTTCGCAAATGTACTACTACAGTAATCCATATAGAGAAAAGATTCAAAATGAGATAGTTTCACTTTCGAACTAACTGGTTGTTCCCGTTTATCAGATTTTTGCAGTGGATTTAAAAGATAGTTCATTTAGAATTTTGAGGAAACATTTATTTTTTAAGTTTTATCACCAACTAATCTCATGTAAATGAGGAATTAATGAAATTATGGAGCAAGAGGAAATAAAAGACAGTTCGATTGGATGTGCAAAAAATCAATCAATGCTACCGAAAATAGACCTTGTTAAGATACATTAATTGTTATATATATATATAACACCTACTAATTAATTTATTCATTCACTCATTTATTGCATAACTATCATGACTATAACAGAATACAAAGTAGTTTCTAACACAATTTATGGAAATTCTGGCAGTACAATGAATTATCAGTAAAGAAAATACAAATAAAAAAAGGATAATAATGTTTATAATTATTAACTATATGTTCTGTAAGTCAACCATGATAGCAAATGAGGAAAGGAGTGTGTGCGTGTACGTATTCAATAGTTTAACATTAGTTTTAATTGTGAGTGTTACATTCATATGTGCGTGTGTGGGTGTGTGCGAGTGTGTGTGTGTATGTGTATGCTTCTAAACGTCTAACATTTCCTCTACTTTTCCATTTATTTAATACCTGTACTGTCACTTTTTTTGTCAATTCGCAAACAAACCCTGTTTTACACTCTTTTCAATATTCAATAATCTTTTATTTGGTTGTTTGTTCGTTTGAAGTTAAATTAACCCTGAAGTTGTGGATGTTTTTCTAATCTCTAGTTTTATATTATTTATTAATATCATAAAACTATGATGGAACAAGATAAACATATACCCTTAAAGAGTGAATCTATTCATAAATCTTAAAAGATAATAGAGGTTTGGAATCATATTACAAAGAATGATTATATAATACATGAATATCTACTAAGATGATGTAATGAAAAAAAATAGTGAAATTGATTATTGAAATAAAATTATCGTCAAGGGATCGTCTAGACAAATCCAAATTTTCTGATGATGACTAGTTTGTTTTTTTTTGTTGTCGTTGTTGTTGCAAATACTCTATTATCAGAAGGGATTTTGTGGATATTATATTAATTTTAATAGTTGAGATCATGAGTCAATTGAAGAGTTCACGCACGATACCGATAGGTCCTGGGTTGGAATCTTTCGAGGCAGGATCGTGGTTGCTTATTGTTGAGAAGTGTCACAATAGGACAAAACGGACATTCACTGCTTTCAGGTTTTCTATGGTGATCTAGTTTCAGTTGACTCATGATCTCAACTATTTAAATATTCTATTTTAAAAGTTGACAGTATCCTATACCATGTGAAACAACAAATAAGCATGATACAACTTTTAATCATGTGATGCATTTATTAAAAACACAGCTTAAATAGGATAGATTACGCAGCTTTTCAATATTAGTTATACATCAATATCATTTTGGTGTTTTAAAAATTTACACTATTACTATTAAGAGTTTAAACTATCCCCTTGTTAATATTCTAAACTGAATGTTGGTCATTCTGTATAGATATATACATATCTTGTGTA